GAGATGCTGAGACATTTTAAGGCCAGTGTGCATTTTAGTCTTCAGCTCACATCCCTTTAAATCTCATCTCCACATATATTTCAGTTGGGAATGTCTGCCAAATGATGCCAAAATTCATACGCTAAATCTTCCATGATTCAGTAGTTTTAAATCAGTCACCCAGATTTCTGAACACTTCTGAAGACGTTGCTGTAAAGCAGTCTGCAGGGTCTGCCGGGGCTCCGGCAGGATGGGGAATGGCACGGAGACCTTCAGGCTCCCTGTTTTCCCCTCCTGAACGGTGTCTTGTGTTTCTGAGGCAACAGATTGTAAACTGGCACACAAGCAGTTAAGCACGGTAGGACTTGCGGCTCTTCCATTTAGTTCTGCTGACACAAACAGAAGGCAAACATAGCTGAAGATTAGAGCCAGAAAAATGCTGCAAAAACTTTGTGAAAGTTCACTTCGTCGTAACCCTCCCATTTGCCTGAACATATTTCCCGCGAGTCCATCCTTTTCCTAACTTTAACGTCCTAAACAGTGGATAAACACCCATTTCACTGCCTCGTGATTTGGATTTGATTAACAAACCAGACAAAATTCGTAGCGTTGAGCCCACAGGTTCTCACTGGGCTTGGAGCAAGGGTCCTTCTGGTCCGGCACCGTCTCGCCTGCTGCCTCGTCTGCAGAGCCCTCTGGTGCGGGTGAGACGAGCAGCTGTCCACCTTATTGCACCGGCAGGACCCACGGGTCCTTCCCCCGTGGGCTGGCACCCAGCCCGGCACGCTGCTTCGCTCTTTCCCCGTGCGAATGCACGGCGGGGCTGAGAGCTCTACAAAAATCTGTCCGGCCCGAGGAGAGTCTGGATGCTTGGCTGTTGAGGAAACCCTGGCATGTTCCTCCTGGTGCTCATGTGCTTCCAGCCATCTGCCACCTGCCTCCTCACCCTGGCGGGCTCTGCGTTGGCGGGGAAGGGGAGGCTCGGAAGCGCAGCACGGAGCAGTCGTGCCGTCCCCAGGCTTAGCCCCAGACACCGCGCTCGGGCTGTCCCCGCTTCCCCCAGCGGGCAGGCGGGTGTGAAACAGGAGGAGGAAAAAAGGTCCAAGCAACCTTTTGTAAAGAGATGCAATTAAGCGTTTTACAGCCAATGCAGACCACGTTCGTTCCCTCCTTCCGGTCCAGCCCCACCAAAACCCAACCTAAGCAAGCTCAGCAACTGGGGAAAATTGGAATCGAGGCCCCTGCGCCGGCTGCCAGCCAGGAGAAACTCCAGGTGCAGCAATGAACCGCTCATGCCCTGACCTGAAGGGCCACGTCCCATGGATGGCAGGTCGCGGCTGCGGGGGCACTGTCACATGCCTTTGTGGAAAACATCTTACCCAGCTGAGACAGAAAAACCCGCTGGCCCGTGGGCACGGGCAGCCCCCACCGCTGCCACTGCATGGGCGGCTTCATCGGCGGAAAGGGGAGGAGGGAAAGGCGTGTTGCTAAGCCAGGCTCTGCTACAGGAACAGAAAATGCATTGTTTGTAAACCCGACTTTGGAACAGCTTAAGACTTAAATACACCTTCAGTTAATTAAACCTTTACAGGGCAGCACAGCTCCAGAGTGGATACAATATTTTCTCCAGACAGCAGATTTCGCTACTAAAGAAATGAGTTTTCCAGGCCGGGCTTGATAGTGCTTATCAAGAAGTTGGATTGGGTTCAAAGTCATCTCAAAATCCTAGTGGGGATCAGCTAAACCAAAAATGGTTATAGCATTGCACCTAGAGAACATTACCTTTAGCGAAGTATTTGTACACAGCACGTCTGGTTGTTTAGTAAAACCCCAATAGGTCTGACAGAGGTGCTTTTTAATAAGCTCTATTAACACACTTTCCAGTAATGTGAACCTTGCGGGTTTTGTTTTGTTTTATTGCCTTATTAAAATATGTTTCCAGGATGCTCAAACAACATTTTCCCAGCTGTTTTTATGCATAATTACATTTTCTTCCCTATGCTGATTTTCTTCCTGTAACTGTGCCCTCTGGACCAAGCAGTGCCTCCACCATGGTAAAGCAACTCTTTTCACGTCAGCGTAATGAAGAACAGAATTTGATCTGTCACGGGGCAATACTTCATCTCTCACTCTCCATCTCTGAAGCTTGGAACATTCTGCAGCGGTTACTGAATTTCACCAGCTAAACTCTGTCCTCCTGTAAACGAGGAAACGGCGCCGACGTTCCCGCATGGAAATGAAATAGAGGATGGGGAATATTTCTTCTGGCACAAGAGGAATGACGGCTAGAAAAGAGCTACCGCAGCCGGACCCCTGACCCCACCTGAGCTACTGCCAAATACAGGCAAAAATCATTAACTTCTCAAAACCAAGCAAAGAGGCGAGGGGTGGAAAGCTGCGCTGGAAGCGATGGGATGCCGGCACTTCTGGGAGCAGGACCCTCCTGGCAGGCTGCTCTTGCTAGTGATTTCTATCTAGAATAATATATTCAGGGATAGTTTCCATATCACTGCCCATACGTTCGCTTGTAGTAGCCACAGCAAAGATGTTACTTTGTACGCTTTTTAAGGAATACTGGCCTGCAAGTGGCTTAGCATCCAGCCTCTCCTGTTGTGAAGTGCAGCTCGTCCTTGACCTCCAGAAATTCCTTCCAACCAACACTTCGGTGATTCAGTGATCCTTCGTCTTTCCCCGTGGCCAGGGCCTTGGCCCGACAGCTGCTGGGTTTGTAAGTTATTTCCCTGGCTTGGACTGACTCGGAGCCAAAGGAAATAAAGCTGGCAAGATCCTCCAGATCTCTGCGCTGCAATAATATCCCCTGCCGGGGCCTCCAGAAGGGATGTGGGGTAGGAGCGAAGCGCCCAGCACCGTCGTTTGAAGCTCCGGCTCCGTCCGCTCCAGCCTGTTGGGTACCAGGGCTGGACCAGGTCCAGGACGGCGACAGGCACAGACCGCGAAACCAAAATGAGACCTGGAGAGGAACCACACGTGTCTGAAGTACAATTCCTTGATAATTTTCCTCCTGGCATGACACAACTCTACCTCGCCCTCTTCCAGGCACAGCCAAAACCCACTGAGGAAGCTGTTTAGGCAAAAGATGAGGAAAAACAAAAGAACTAGCCCACGTAATTTCTGACTAACACTTCATTTTGAGACCTAGTATTTATTCTCTGATGCCCAAGAAGGAGATTCAGCCTGCTAGGTTTTTAATTATTTATTTTAAAATGTTTTCACAAGTAGCAAAAGTTTGTTTTTTTGAGGAGGAAGAAACACAGTTGACTATTTTCAGAATGGCTATACAACATGTACGCTTTTCCACAGATTTGTACCAGGATAAAAAGTAATATAAACATATGTGTATATTTATATATAAAAATAAATGATTTGGTACTAACAGATTCAACTAAAACAATTTCAGTGAGGGAAAGAAGCAAAATTGAAAAAAAAAAAATTAACATCACAATTTTACAAGTACCTTTTTTAAAGGTGTTCAGAATTCTGACTTTTCACTGAGCGTGAAAGAGGGGAGGAGAACAACTGCCACTGAAATGTATTTACAATAACTAGATTTTATATCATTCATAGATGTCACACTTCATCAGGTTACTTTGACAAGGCAGATATGAAAATGTCAGCAGTGCATGAACTCTATTTTTTACGTAGAAGAGCATATATATTTAAAACACCTATTTTAAGTTTTAGGGCTGTTACCTCACTTTACCCCAAAATAATGATTTTATCCTGCAAGACAATTGTAACTGCTTGCAATAAAGCACCAGTCTGACAACAGCACCCGAGCCAGGCAGAGGGAAGGGCCAGGGCACAGAGAGCGGGGCAATAACGAGATCCCACCGAAGCACTGACACCCTTCACAATTAATTGGAATATTGCATTTATCTACTGGAAGTCAGATTTAGAAATTCAGTTCGTTTGTGCCTTCCCTTGCAGAAGCAGTACTCCCCCAGTTGGGCGATCTATTACACACATTATTATTTTTGCTGCTATTATTTTTTCCTCATTTCCAACATCCCAAGTCCCAAACCACCCGCCAGGACCAGCGCAGAGGACACCGCGCGAGGTTCAACCTGCCAAAATCCTCCCTATTTTTGCTACGGCCTCCTTAGAAGAGGGTGCAAGGGGCAGAGGAAAAAAACCCACTCCTCTTTTCCCCATCCTGGACCCCGCGGCAGCTGGTCCATCCGTCCCGGCCGTCCCCCCTCAGCCCAGGCAGCGGGCCATGGCCTCCCTCTAGCGTCTGCAGCACCGGCGCCCGTGCCCGTCCTCCCCCCTCAGGAGTGACCAAAGTCCTTTCAGCTCCTGCAACAAGAGGAAACTGGTTTGATCCTGCGAGTAATGACCCATAATTAATGTTTATAGACACTCCAGAGTATAAGAATTCACAGAGCCCCAGGAGCACCTGCGGATCAAGCAGCCTCCAGAACCTCTTCTATAATTAACATTTAACGATTATGCAGAAACCCCTGAGGCAAGCAGCTGTCTCTGCTTCTGCAGGAGAGGCCTGAGGGCAACAGGATATGAAGACAAACTATTTAGAAACCCATCATCAGCTTAACTTTCCTCCTCCCATGCCCACAGACTTCTCACTTGTTCCAGCAAGACAGAGAGGTGCAAACGTCACCTTAGCAGGACGGCAGCAGTTATATTTGTAGGAGGGACTGAAAAAACACCCAGCCTGGTGGGCCTATCCAAAAATGGCCCCCGACTCTAAGGTGAGGCGCGTGAACAAGCTTCGGGGTGTTCAGGTCCAGGGCTGGCTACTGGGCCAGGAGGAACCAGCAACGGCGCGGGGACAGGACTGCACAGCACCCCTGGTAAGGGAGCGCTCATTGATCAGGGTGGGCTAGGGGAAGGGGGGAGCACACATTTCTGTCTGCACCTCAGCCCTGGTAATGCTTTAAATCAAATCCTAAAAAAATAAAAAAATGAAATCACATGCAGATGCAACCATAAAAAGGTAAACTAGTAAAACATTAAGCTGTAAAATCAACACGAGTCAGTGCTGAAGTAATGAACAAAGTGGCAGAGTTCAAGCAAGTGCAGATACATAAGCAAGACTCTTCTCTTTGCAATTTAGAAAGTAAATATTTACTGTAATTTACTGTAAATCTATTTAATACACTAAAAGGTTGCTTTAAAATGCTCCTTTGGGCAGAACTCTTGCCCCCCCACACCCAAGCACAGAGAACTGGTAAGATCCACTCGTTACTCTGCAGGTTTCAAGGCCAAGTCTGACAAGCTGAGCATATCAGTGTTGCTCCCAGCCTTAGTCACAGAAATACGTTAATGATCATCATGGTTAACTAAAATATGCTCTTTCTTATAAATGTAACATTAGCTTTTATATTTTAAACAGCTCAGCTGACAATTTAATACACTCTTTTAAACTTAAGTTCAGTATTTATCCCTCTACCTTTGAGGCATCCCAAAAGCTGATGTGTTTTGGAAGGCTCTTACAGGTAAAACAATTTAAGATTTGGACCCACTTAGGTGCACAGCTCTGTTCCTGCTCACGTCTGAGCAACAGCAGCCTGTGCTTTGTATAGTAAGGACTTTCACTGAAAATCTGTATTTTAAGACTGAATTTATACTAAGGGAAGGCTCTATTGTAAACATTTGATAAGGTCTGGGAATATAAAATCCTGGTATAAGGTCACTTAATCAAATGTGACCTGAACAGAGACAGACATGACCAACACAGGACAAGCGTTTTGAAAATAATAGGAAGTATTTGTTTAAGAAATCCTGCAGTTTGAGGCTCTGAGGTCTTACTAGGTGCTTACAACAGAGCTTTCCTGCATTAGACACTCAGTCTTTAAATGTATATTTTCAGTATTTTCAGTGAAAGTGCTTACTACACAAAATCCTGGATGCTGTTGTTCGCTGACTGGAACAGGAACACCCACACCGTTGCTTTATTTCCCTTCCAAGTTAGGAAAAAGTGGTGGAGAAAATTCTCTGCTCCTGGTCGCGGTCTCCAAACACCGATTGCAAGGATCCAGGTTCTGGAGGTGTAAAAGACCCTGCACGAACGACACCACGGTCCGACGGCAGAGCCAGGACGGATTACACAAGGGCGCCTCGCTCTCAGGACTTTGCATCACGGCAGCATGAGGGATTTTGCCAGTCTCATCCAGAACCACTTTTTGGTGCAAGGATTGGTATAATCACAAATTGTAATGAACCGTAAGATACTTGGAAACTCGTTCTTCATGGTTTTGCACTTGACTGGGATCAGCCGTTTGAGACGAGCACCTGAAAGACAGGTCACACAGGCAGAGGATTACACAGAGCCACAGTCAGATCCTGTATCCATTTTCTCCACACGCATCACAAGATCCAGCCTTGCTCCTGATCGTGTGTCATCAAATTGTAACACAACGACCTCTCACCCTGGAGAGCAAGTTGCTGAATCCCAAGCCCTCTGCTAAGAACATTTCACTCAAATACGTAGCAGGACCCCGTCCTGCACGTGTAGGGCAGCTTGTGCTGATGGGAATGATAAAGGCCTAATGAACTGCAGACATAAAAACAGAGCACAGGTTCTTGTGGAATGCAAACAGGAATATACAGTCCTGACTACTTCCAGGTGTGTATGAAGAGAAAATTGAGAGACTAAGCTGCTTCTAGATGGTCACTTTGCTGGGTTACCTCCAGTTCTTTTACTTCCTATCCTGATTTATTCAGGCCGCAGATGTTACTCAATAAGGGGCTGCAAGGAATCCCTCTGCTAACACAAACTGCTTTTTTTGAGGCATGCACAAGATGAGACAACTCTCCCTGTGATTGCTGCTGCTTGAAGGAGCAGCTCTTCTAAAGAGAAGCCTCTCCCCTTATCCTCCACAGGGATACCCGCCACCAGTTAAACTGTGCTGCCCAGTGCAAGTGATGACACTGAGACTTGGATGAGGCAAATAACCCCGATTTCGTAACTGCAGCAGCTGCTTAAGTAACCTGTGGAGCTCCCAGAACTCACCACAAAATCCTTCTGTGTGTTATTTACCCCACGCAAACAAGTAACTCTGTGATTTCTGTAAGCCTGTACTTACACGCATGTTTTTACCAGTAGAGCTCAGGTCATTACACACGGACAGGCAATTCTTTTCCTGTTCTTCTGATGAAAGGTATGATGCTAAGAAAGAACTGGTGAAGAACTAAATGGACTTTGCTACAGATCTCGATGAGAGGGGGCTGATGCAACATGCTAGGGGTGTTCAATATGAAATTATTGTTTCAAGATGGAGCTAATTCCTAGCTCTGCCACTGGCTTCGGTTTGGGATAACTGAGTGTATCTGACCTGCTTCCAGTTTAACCTCTGGCATGTCATTTGTAATACCACATCAGACGCCTCATCCAGAAAAGAGACTTTACATGCAGACACTCCTACTGACACTACACATCCTCCACACTATTAGGCTGTGCTGCACGCACTCCCCAGCAACATACGCGAGTGCAAGGATAACTAGTGGTCAGAGAAAAGCAATCTGAACAGACTTAACAGAAGTAAATTGGTGGCTTTTCAGCTCAGAACAAAGTATGAAACAGATTCTTCCAGTCCAAGTTGAACATTCATTCCATATCTTGTTTACCTATCCACAATACTCAAGATCTCTGCAAAAAGCTGCGTGTTCCTTACCTGCTACCCTATTCCCAGCAATTACTCACACCCTGAATTTATTATAATACTTTTCTCTTTAGCAGCATATTTCCCGTAGGGATCTCGAAGCACTTCACAAGCCTGACGTGCCGCTACAGCATCTCTGAAGTGGGCAGCGTTAGCCCACCTGACAGCTGGAGCGCTGAAGCACAGACAGCTCAGCTCCTCGCTCAGTCATGCAGAAGGTCAGTGGCAGGGTAAGGAACCAAGTCCAGGTCCCTGCCTGCACAACAAAATTACAAAGCCACTATTAGTTGTAGTGGCTGCCTCTAATAGCGACAAATCTGTTTGCTTAGTGAAGGGAGTTACACCCAGGACAAGCCCCGTGCCTGGGTGGGCTTTTCACACACATGAAACCTGTCAGTGGTGAGAACGTGGGTCTGAGACCGAGTTACCAGTTCTGTAACTATCAGCTCTTTATTTTCTCCTTTTTTCAAGCGTATTTATCTAATCTGTTGAAACACATCTGAGATTACCCCTCAATTCTGCATTTCTGCAGTGCCCAATAGTACAGCACTGATCTCAGCTGGAGATGCTACTGTAATGAAACTTACAATGTTGATACGCGATGTTTAAATGGGATATTTGTGAGATCTTACCTGGAGAGAGACTAAGAGCAAATTTGGTCTGAAAATCACATTCATCACTTTCCAGATAATCATCTGAAATGACAACCACCATCCTCCGACACCTGAAGATGAAGCAGTCAGGGGAGAAAAAAATAAGATGTCAACAGAGATGCTTCTCCTTCTCGCTGGCAGAAGCATGTATTCCTCTGAATTGCTCCGGTGGAGAAATGGATGTGCCAGCTGTGTTCCAGCAGGAATTAACTACAGAGCAAGGACTACTGACAGATAGCTACGTTACACACTAAAACCTGATTACAGATACACCCATACACCAAAAAATGAGGAAACAGAAAGTCCAGATTGCCTGTGCAATCATTATTTGATCCTCAGCCTACATACAATGCCATCATAATTCTCTGCTTACATGCTGCCTTTACTGAGTGTAACCACTACCTTGTAATATTAGAATGAACTGGACAGAGCTTTACTGTTCTCATATTACTGTGAATTCACCTGGTTTCGTAAAGTTGAGCTTTATTCTCCAATTTGTTGCTTTCATTCATACGAAGTGCCTGGTTGTAAACTACATATTAGGCTCTTTATGGAAGGCTACGCCGTACAACAGCCAGGACAGTGAGGCTTTGTGAAGGTCTCTGTTAACACCAAGCTACCTCCCTCTCACAGGCTGATCTTTAAAACCCCAACACCTGCATTGGGATTTTTCACTCCCTATCTGGGGACTTGCTTTCATGTCCCACAGCTCCCACCGCGGCCGAGTCCCACACAGGTCTGAAGGATCCTTGAAGCCAGTGCCAGGGCCAGCACCAGTGCTGTCCCCCTCGAACTTCCCACTCTGGGGTGGAGCCAACTCAGCCTGGAGCTGTATTCACTTCCAGATCACCTCCAAGGATGTGACTGCAAGATATTCCAGCCAAAGAAAAGGGATCAAACGTAAGCAGCATCACTACAGAGGCATCTCCCTTGTGAACATAATGAAGCGACGTGTTTGGGAATGCTCGAATCTTCCTTCTTGAGCCAAGAGCGTAAAACAAACCCCGTAAAGACATCCTTGTGGATTTTTACTGCTTCACTGGCACCACGCTGCAGACATCATGGTAAAACAAACATAACGTTCCATTACACTCAGCTGTCCCAAACAGCCACGGTTCACTTACCTCCTTTCTATAAGTTCTCCGCTGATGGACCACACACATGTTCCTGGCAAGACATCCCGATCAAATACACAGAGCTTCAGTTTGAACTCTGTTTGTTCCAGCTCCCTGATCATCTCCTGGACAAACTGAAGGTCTTTCTGACAGTAGCAGATGAAGGCATCAAACATCTCTGCTCTGTTCCCTGAAACCGTTAAAAATTTAACTTCATTTATAGTAAAAGACGACAGCTAACTCCTGTAGTGAACTTTCACAGACTTTGACTCAGAATCAAGAGGTTGACAGACAAGCTCTGACCAAACTTGTGAATGTAATTTAACGTTTTCCCAGCCCGGGTACCCTTCAGCCCAGGCTCCTGTCCCTAATAGGGCTGGCAGGAGGTAACACACGTCTGTGCCTTGAAGGCTTTGGTTCACAGCCCAGGCTATTCACATAAACCCCCATTTGCTGGCAGTGGTTAGGGAAGTGTAGCTGAGATGCAGACGTGCAAAATCTTCAGTAACACCCAGCTACAGGGAGCGGGGGGAGACAGAGGCTGGGAAGAGCTGGAGGGAGCAGAGTAGCACACAGGATGCAACTCAGAGCCCTGATGCTCTGGGATTTCACTGCGAGTTCTGCATCTAAAATGTCCTCGTGGCTCTGGGAACCAGTTCTCTAGTTCAGGTCACAGAAGTGCAAACTTCCCAACCAAAACCTTCCTGCAGGCCCTTCACCCAGCAATGTCCTGAAAGCCGCTGTCTACTGAGCTACAAGGGAGGCCTTGAAATTTAGAAACTGCAATTTTTATGGCTAAGATGTCAAACTTGGGTACCTGAAGTCATATCCTAAGTGAATGGCCCTGTTTCCCAAAGGTGTTAACAGCTGGCAGCTCTTGCTTATTTAGCACTTACCCAAACACTGAAGTGCTGTATTTTAAAGGCAATGTCCCTTGTAATTAAGTGCCTTGGTACTGCCGGACAGTTTCCCACCGTTATTTTTTTTCCATATCAATGTCACTACATATATTTTCAAGTTTTTATGCCAGTTAAAGCCTACCACAGTGAAAAAATAGGTCAGGCTCTAAAAGCTGCTGGGAAAAGTAGGAACCCGGCAGGCAGATCCAGCTCAAGAAGCATCCAGTCAAGCAGAAGGGTAACTGTCTGCCAGGTCAATCAGACCCAGGGTACTGCTTTAGGGACACGGTGCTAACGTGGGGGACGCGCCAGGCAACGCCGCCATGTACAAACATGGACATTTTTGGGGGGGGGGTTAACGATGCCCCCCCACGTACAGCAAAGGTGCCCACCCAAAATCGGAGTAGCCAGGGGAGCGTCTGAAGGGGTGAGCTGGCACGGCTCCGGGCAGCCTCGGCTGCTGCTCCGTCTGCCACTGAACTTCCTAAGATGCCGGCCCCGCAGCCCGCCGCTGCGCACGCAGCCCGGCCCGGCACGCGCAGGCAGAGCACACACACACAGAGGGAACTGCGCTTCCTCTCCCCCGCGCCTCGCTCCGCTTCCTTTTTATTCAAGGTGGTTAAATCTGCCGAAGGCAGGGCAGCACGGCCAAGCCGTCAGCTCTGACATCCTTCCCCCCGCCTTGCCTTCCAGCCCACGGTGCTTTCGGCAGCTGCCGCTCTGTGCCTGGCTGTGCTAAGGGACACGTTTCTGGGAAGTCTCCTCCCGTGCACGTCCAGCGGGCTCGGTGCCAGCCCGCTTCTGGGTACGGCGTTCCCCAGGGTTGCTTTTCCTCTCTGCCCGAGGGAACAGGAAAAATTAAAATGCCTGAAAAAGCATTCCGGCCTAGGCTGTGAAAAGTCACGGGGAGTAATAAAAGCAAACAGGTCTTCTGCACGTCTCATGGGGGATCTGCTACAGCTGAAGGCAATTCCAACACGAGGTATTGGGCAGCAACGTAGTCACAGGCGCTTACCGTAGGGATCGTCCCTGGTGGTGATGCCCATCAGTTCCGACGTCCTCGGCACGCTGCTGTCTACTGCTGGCACTTGAAGCGGCTGGTCGGCCTGCTCCTGCTTCCTCTGTAAGTACTTCTTACAGTCCTCCTCTGCAAAAACACACAACCAACGCAAGAGGCGCCTGTGATGGTGGTTTTACACCGCTGGTGTTCTTTAAAACAGGAACAGCTATTTCATGGATCAGGGAAATCAGAGGGAAACACCCTGTCTGGTTTTTTTTGGTACCTAAAATTTCTCACGCTCCTTTTTGAACCTCTAGATGCTGCCTCTACCACCTTCTCTAGCAACTGATCCCTGAAGCTCACTCTTGCTTTTTAAATAAGTATTTTCTTTTATTCATTTTAAACCAACCTCCTCCAATTGTCCTTAGTTCTAATATATCCAAGCAGACTTGTAACAGTATGTATCACGCACATAACAGGTCTCAACTCTACTGTCTGCTCTCACTATTATGCATTTTAGAGTATTTAAAATCACAAAATAATTGGGGAGGGGGAGTTTCTCCATTAGAAGTCTTCATAATATCTCAGTAATAGTAACTGTGGACACACACTAGCTGATTCACACCACCGGCCTTTGTCAGCCAGAACTGCAGGTGATGATGAGCACACTGACTCACCACATGCAGGAGGACCGTATGGAATTCGACGGAGCCCCTAAAACAGGCTTTACCTTGTGCAACAGCTAGTGGAGACCCTCTCCATCGCAGGCAGAGTGAGTGTGTGCCTCCCTGCTGGGGTAACTGAAGGGCAAGCAGGCCTGTCACATGCACTGCTGTGAACTTCCCAAACAGGGCAGTGATGGACACAGACCTATTGCAAACAGGTTTTTGTTTAAAAATGAACAATAAATATAAATGTTAAGTCTTTGGAGAAGAGACAAGAAACCCTGCAGCCTCTGCTGCTCTGCAATATGCAATCACAGAAGAACTTGAAAGTAAAAGGAGATTCGAAAACAGGAATTAGCAAAAAGATTACACTCCCTAGGAAGTTCTCTTTTGCTTAAGATTTAAAAAACCCCAGCAAGTGTCAATCAGAAAAGTACTGATCACTCAGAGGGTTGGGCTGGCACAGCTAGAGGGATCACGGGTACCAGAGCAGCAGCAGCAGCAGCAGAGTGAAGGGTTTCCCGGCGGGGCAGGATGCGGGCAGCGGCCCGGTAAGCACTGCTGTGGCACAGCTCCCGTCAGCAACGAGCAGGTCTGCAGGCGGCCCAGCTCCCGAACCCCACCCTCTGCTTCTATCTCATAGTTTGGCATCTCGTCGCTGGATTATCCCCAGTCTACTAAAGTGTCAGATCTGATCAAAGCTTTTCCTGAAGCTGAGGCATTCCCAGTCTGGCTCTCTCTTCCCCCCTTCCTCCCCAGTGCTGCAGCAGAGAGAAGAACCAGCCGCATTCTTTACCAGCCAGAAAATTCAGATTTCAGGTCTTTCCTTACTAAAGCACAAACTCATGTCCCACCTCTCTGCCAGCTGCCTGTTGCCATGAAGCGTGCACGCTTCGTGTCATGTGAGTCAGTGTCTTTGAAATCACGATTAAAGGCACTTTGAATTGACCAACAGTTCAGGAGTTCCACGGGAAGGACTGGCACACAGGCACTACCTTACGTGTGCCCTGGTGCCCTGGGTAGCCAGGTTCACAATCCGAAATATTGCTGAATAGGCAAGAACAAGCTATTATTTAAAGGCATACTAATACTAGTGCACAGTACAAAATAGTTCATTTTAAGTGTCTCTCCTCCAGGTCTTCTCTCCTTGTTTCTCCCAGCTGCACACGTGGCATGTATGCTGCCCTGACCTGTGTTTTTCTAGACTGGTGCCCAGAGCCCATCACCCCACCGCACACAGCTCACACACATTCTCATTAACACAAGTGTTCTCCTGATTCACCCAGCCAAGCCTACGCACGCGGTTTTGACAGCATCATGCTGTAACCCCAGACCTCGCTTATCCCTACAGGATAAACCTGAGAGCTGGGCACAGCTTTCAAAGCAAAACACCGGAGCCTCTTCGTTTTACTGGGCATCCTATCACACCGAAACTGCCAGTAGATCCAGTGAACCCGCAGGGATGAAGGACATTCACTAATTTGGGATGGATTAGTCCCCCAGATGGAAGCAGTGCCTGACTGTACAGGTGAACAAGAGCTACCGAGGGTAAGAGATGACTTTGCAGGCCTATAAAGAAAAAGGATTGCAAACCAACACAACAAAGTAGCATGAAACTCCTCCAAGCTAAGTTGTCCCACTCCAGCCAGCATCTAACACAGCACTGGCTTTACATTCCTCCAACGGTCGAACAAAAGCCTGAAGTATTGGAAAGAAAGAATGAAAACATGGCACCTAAAGTACAAAATGATCAGCACAATGAGAAGAGACCCAGTAACTGTCAAGCAGGAAAGCAGAACTTTTATAACAGGCCAGGAGGAAACAAAAATCATTGAGTTTCATCAGGGAAGAGTTATCACAAACATACCAAACCAAATAGCTTCACATCCCTAAATGAAATAAGCTGCTGAGAACCATCACAGTTAGGGCAGATCAGGTGGGAGGGAAAAGCTGCGTCCTGCAAGTGTCTGTACTCCAGACAGTGTAACAGAGGAGATGCTAAATACATCCTCACTGTATAGAGCAGCCAAAAGCAGAGCTACTCGAGGCTGTATGAGACACTGATTTTTAGCATTCTAAGCATAGCCAGGAGAGGAGCGTGCACCGAGAGGACAGGGAACTGATTCCACAGTAGAAACCACAAACCAAACACATCCTCTGGAGTGGGACAGCTGTGTCCCGAGGGAACCTGGCTCATTTGCCCACACAAAGGCATCGGGTGTCACCTGAGAGATCCCAGCGTCCAGGACATCCGTTATGGGCTAGCAGGTACGACACGGGGACCTGCAAGTGACCCGTGTCCATCGGGAGGTAGAGGCCCTGTGAGATACCCTGACGCCTCGCAAGTGACTTGAGATGCCTTTGTGCGGGCAGCCGAATCGTGCCCCAGATCTGCACCTCCTATGATGAAAATACAGACCGCAAAAACCTCAGTACTCATGTCCTCTGATTCTGAGCTGAATCCCACTGCATGAGTCCTAGTGGCGTACACAAAGATGCCCCCGGCATCAGGCAATGCCGTGCGTAAGAGTGCACACAACCGTTCATTTGCCTTCCTCTTGTGAGGGTAAATATCTTCTGCATGAGCTCGGAGTGCTAGCAACAGGTAACAGGCCCTGGCTGCAATCCTCAGCCAAAAGTAATAAAAGAAAGGAATGGCCGTGCTGGGTCAAGGCTGAGTGTCCATCTGTCCCCAGCAGTGCTCAAAAATAGATGCCTAGGGGAGAACATTAAAAATAAAATAAGCATAAAGTGATATTTTCCTAAAATAATAGATCTTTTAAGTATAATCTACAATCTATTTTTGTAATGTATCTTTTGGACAATTTGCAATTAAGGAATTTCCTGAGCCAGAGACAATATTTTTGTTTTGAATAGCCCTCAGTGGGTTTTTCTTCCAAGAATTTATCTGTCTCCTCTTATCAGCGTGACCCATCACCCGGCTAAACTTGTGACTTTCCTGAAGCTCAGGTTCCTCCCACTCATTCTGCTGTTGTCTATTCAGGCTCTGACAAAGACCAGCCGCCACATTCCCTTCCAGGGCGCCAGCTCCTGAATTCAGGGCCAGAAGAAGCCTAAGTGATGCCCAGCGTTTTTGTCAAGTCCCAGCTCTCTCGCACAGCTGGAAGCTTCTGCTATTTGTTATGAACCTCTGATCGGTGGATTGTGGAGCACACTGATTTTTTTTTGTCTTTCCCAATACCGAGTTTTCAGAGCGCATCCTTGAGTAGAAAGAATCACCGGAGTATGGGAAAGTCCTCCGCTGCTCCTTGGTCAGGTTGCTTGCATAGATGAATTGCTACATCTTCACTTATCTCCATGAGTAACAGGAAATGAGATTTGTTATTTCTTCATCACTAACCCAGTAAGCTATTATACAACACTTCAGTTGAGTCTCTGGCTTTGGAAATCCTTTGGCAATGAACTTCCTCTTCTGGTGACAGCTGGCTTCCCTCTAAATTTCTGTGATCGTGAAGAATACAAAGAGTCTACAAAGAACAAGTTTTCAAAACAGCACTAGGACCTGCGTGCTTCTCACTGACCTATCTCAATCTTCTTCAGTTTGCAAGGAAACTTTTTTCCCTTCCATTATCCAGTTCATTATTTCTCCCTTCCATTAACCAGTTCCACACTCCCCTCCTCTCTCCCTGCAAATACCTTCCTATCACACTAGAACCACACTTCAGCATTTGCACACTGCCTGTGCAAGCTGTCTCCTGGCTGACCCGGCCCAACGTGTCCTCTGACGCGCAGAAACTTTGTTATTGAAGGTTTGGGATTAAGACGGGGCTCCAGATGACTTCGCAGGGTTTATGGTTAGTAGAAAGAGAGTGAGCTTCTCCCTCCTCTGCTGGAAGCCGCGTGAGGCTGCTGTGAAAACACGGAGAAGGTCGCCCCACCGCCTGGGAAGACTTCCTGCTCGGGTGGGTTGGTTTTTTTTTTTTGGTGAACATCACCCAACCCCAGCACCAGCAGCACCCCCCCCCCCGCCCTCCCTCCCTTAAGGAAGCCCCGAGTTTAGCCGCGGCAGAGGGCGGCGGGAGCCGGGGGGACACCGCGTCCCCGGGAGAGCCCCGAGCCCACGGCAGCCCCACGGAGGAAGGGGCAGGCACCCGCGGAAGAGCGGGGGGCGCGCGTGGGGCTGTGCGGGGTCCCCCGCCGCGCCTCACCCATGCTGCCGGCCAGGTCGAGGAGCACGTCGTGGCGGCCCAGCCGGCGCAGGAGGTCGAGGAGGCGGCCGACGGTGGCCCCGCCGGGGCAGCGGCACTGCCAGTCCTCCAGCAGCGCGGCGGTGGGGTCGGGCCGCGCCTCCAGCCGCCGGATCTCCAGGTACTCGCAGCCCAGCTCCTCGGCCAGCGCCGTCCAGTCGTTCGCCGCCGCCGCCGCCCGCGGGTTGAGGTAGAGGCCGAGCCGGCGCCTCACGCCGTAGTTCAGCGCCGCCATGGGCACGGCGTGGAGATCCGGCCCCCCCGGGCCCGCCGGCTCCGCGGCCATGGCTCCGGCTCCTTCCTCCCCTCACCGCCGCCCTTTCGCTTCCCGCCTCGCCCCGCCTCGCCGCCCGCCCCTCAGGCGCGCGGGGGCCGCGCTTTTCCCGCCGCCCGGCTGGTTTCGGCAGCAGCGGCCGTTCGCCCAGCGGTACCGCGGCTCCGCTCCCTCTGATACGGGGCCTGGATCGGAACAGGGGGTGTAAGGGTTAATATGGGAATAGCAAGAAGGGGATGACAAGGGAAATAGTCGAGATAAGAGTTTGCTTAGATCGCACAAGATAGATAGTGCTGTGTTTGTGTTGCTCGACCACTATCTCCTGTTTAAGTAAAAAGCCTCCTCCACCCCTGAGTAAGTGAAGATGTTTGTGTTGCTCGACCACTATCTCTTGTTTAAGTAAAAAGCCTCCTCCACCCCTGAGTAAGTGAAGATTACCCCACAACCGGCACAAACCTGCTCTGCGGGTCCAGGGGGGTGACAGAGACTGCGCAGGAATTTGGGGTGAAAAGTTAAGCACTGAGGAAGAGGAGATACTTCCTCCCACGACCACCGCCCAGCCCTTCACGACCCCTGCCCAGGACCAAAGGAACTCACTGTGCAGACTCAACTGGGAGGAGATCATGGAAATGCTAATTTTAATACGAAGCGGGGATAGGTGATGCATATGTATAGGCGTATTGCGAAATATTATGAATATGTAATCATTTGCTCTATAAATCTAAGGCAACGGTGCCACATGGCAGCACACACATTAGGAGGAGTGATCCCCTGTGTGCCCAGCGCTGAAGAAACATACCTACTTTACAATCTATCAGATTGTGGAGTCTGTTTTCCGCACGTCACCTCCTCACCGGAACCGTGGGGCAGCCCCGCGCAGGGACACGCGGGACCCACGGCGTGGGTTAGGGGAGACGCTTCCTCCACGCAGTGCTGTCCCTAATGCTGCTTCCCCCCCCAAACCCCCCCCCCCCCCCCCCATTGCAGTTACCTTAATAAAATAGCTTGACTCCTAGAATATTTAGTTCAGAACATGATTTTGATTTTTAAATGGAGTTATAGCAGCTATGACAATATAAAGCACAGGGCGGCCCTCAGGAACAGGTGGCTGGTATGGTGTGTGCCTTGAACACTGTAAGAATTGTTCCCGTCTTGGAATTAAGACAATGGGTACTGGTTATGGACCTTGAGTCAAAACAATGGGTACCAAAAGATACTGGGTTTGGTTTGGAGGATCAGCCACAGGCGCAAGGATGGGGTTCAATCAGCGGGCACGATGAGGAAGACGATTGACTGACACGAGAGAACCCCTGTCCAACATAACCACGCATGCGTTAGAGACATCTGCATATGATAATGATTTCCAGGAAATAACATGAATATGCTGATCATTACCCTCCCCTCATTCTACTCAAATCAATCAGTAAAGATGACCAATGATTTCTGTAGAATGGGAATATAGGTAAGGTGAGGTAACTGAAAGCCAATCATTATTAAGGTCAAATTAAACTTTATGAATTTTGTGGATCTTATGTAACCACAACTCTGCTGAAAAAGTGTATAAATATGTTGAGCTTTGTACCTGTTGGTGAACGCGTCTTTAGTGGAGCTAACCCCCGTGTTCCCCAGCACTGGAATAAAGAAGTGCCTGCTTATCTGCTTTGTGTAGGTCAGTTCTGTTCGTGATTGTGACCACTAACACCCCCACAATGGCTACATTCCTGCCCAGCCCCCTAATACATCAAACGGGGGGATTATGAACGTGGCCCTGATGGGGCGTGTGTTCAGAATCACTTGATTTATCCCCTCTCGGTAGAACTTGCTTTTGTGTTCAACATCAGTTCTTTTCGCAGTCCAGAGCAGAACCTGTCTACCCAAGTAAGTCTCCAAAGACATTTAAAAGAATTATGGTAGTATTCTTTACAAAAGAGGCCCAGATGGATCTCTAGTGATAATACATCCAAAGCCACGTCCCAGCTACCGAGAGAGGGCTGCTTTTGGGATTGAGGAGTTTGAACCCGGGCTGTCCGTCGGGTGACTGCTCCGTGACAGCACAGATATGGCTCTCTCCAGATTCCCAAACTCTTCCAGTGAGTACGACATCCTGCATAAAAGCAAAATGCTTAAAATGGCCAGGGAACCACTTCAGACCGGGTTTTGGTGCTGGGTACAAAATACAGCTCTCAGCTATGAACTGAACAGCTTCCAGGCTGGTACCAAAAGCAACCTGGGCACTGCAAGGACTCCTGGGCAGTTTTCACGAGGCTTTTACTGTTTCTGCGAAGTAATGTAGGAGACACAGTAAAAGAACACCCTCTGAAGTCTCACTCTGTCTAAGGATCTCTGTGGAAATGAGGAGGATAAAATATTCCAGTAGCAAAACTTTTAATTGCACAATGATCGGTAGTTTTAGAGCCTTAAAACATGAAAAATTAGCATAAGAAAGTTCGCTTGAAAGAGTTCTGACTGAACACCTGCCACATAAACCATCTGCTCCAGTTTGTGAGAAGTTTAGCTGCAACAGCTGTAAGCACCAGCGCAAAGCAAGAGAGGCTGGAGAAGCAGCCACACCTCCTCCAAACAGAAAGGCCATGCCATTTGGGTTGATTAATGTTAGTTAGACAGCCCCTTTCAACCAAAGGATTTTACCAAGTTGAGAGTGATATAGAGTCACCATCCCGGGGGGGGGGGGGGGTGGGTCAGACCCTCAGTGCTGAAAGGCAGCCCCCCCTGGAACCCCAAACTGCCTCGGAGCTCACAGCACCAGCCTAAGCACCGAAGTGAAAACACAAGATGCCCTCACCACCACCAGTACTAACACACAAGCTCCAAACACCCCGTCCAGCTCGAGTCCCTGGGAACACCGAAAAGGCAGAGCCCTTGTTACTCTCTTGTGGCCAGACTTCAAGCATTGGCTTGAATCAAGGAGATTAACTGTTACCCTGGTGCCTTTGGCAGCGTAAGCTCCCATTGAACGCTTCTCCAGCACGCACCTGGACTGCCTTCACCATACATCTTCCTTGCAAGAAAAGTAAAAATCTGTCCCTCTGCCCTTGTGCTGCATTGGCGTGTGTGCAGGTCCTCTCCTGCCCCTGGGATGGGGGCTGCTTCCCTGCTGCAAATGAAGGATGAACAGATATTTACTGATGCTGCAGAGTGAATATGATTACAAAGCTGCCTTGGCGTGCAGAAAAATGTGCGGGTGGCACTTCCACCCCCAAGTTTGCAGAAAGGAGGGGAGGCCTGACAGGCACAGCTCTAGGCTTGGACTTAGGAAACTCGGGTTTCTGTTAAGGTGTGGGCTTGTGTTTTCAAAGGTCTTTTGATACTCAGTTTGGGAGGGCTAGGAAGGGGAGGTTCTTCTCCAGGCCTCAGTAACATTGGGCCAGCAGTCCCTCGCAGCAGTATTTTAATTTCACAAGCACAGTGTGGCAGTGCAGGCCCACAGAGCCCCAGTTGAGCTGGAAAGTTGCTCAAAATGGAAGTCTTGCCTGATAGAGAAGCTTTTTGGGTTCAGGTTTTATCACTGCCTCAAACCAGTGTCTCACCAAGGGGCTCCTCCACAGGGCCTTTTTTCTGATCTCAGATGCACTCTTAAGCAGGAAGGTAATAATCCAGGCCCTTTAACAGCATGGCTGGAAGGGGAAAGCTATGCTTTCACAAAACTTTCCACTCATGGCAAAGGAATCTGGCCTGAGAAATTCAGACACGCTTCATTCTTCTTTGAACACCATATGACAACTAAATTTGAGCCTCCACAAAGTATCCTTACTCAGGAGGAGGCAGGGAGGATGCACAGGGGACAAGAAAATGCTGAAAACCCCTTGAAATGCACAACCATTGCTTACATCCATTTCCTTCTTCCCATCCAGCTTCACCATCACTGACCCCACCCAGACCTACAGAGCGCTTCCCTCCCGTAGCCATCTCGGCCAAGAACAGCAGCCCAGTCAGCAGATGCAAGTCTTGACATGTCACAGGATCCACATCTTAATCTGTCCCCGTTCTAACAGGCACACACACACCCAAAAAGCAAAGTGCAAGGGCCAGTACCCGTATTTCCTGGTCTTGCTGACTCCAGGTTGGATGCACTCAAGCATGGTAGGAGTTCCACCTCATGAAGAGAGTGGAAACTGAGCATCAAGCTTGGCTCCCTCCTGTCTGTCTGCATCAGGGGGTGGTTAAGTCAGTGGAAGCCTTCAGAGATACCCCATCCCTCCACTCCTATCTGGCATATTCAGAAGGAAAAAACCTGAGCAAGAAAAGCAACCTATAAAATACTAAACAAAACATGCATGGGTTCATTCTTCAGCCCTAAAACCAACTGGCCTGGCACATTATATGTCCATATATGTAGAGTGGCTTTGTCAGGACTGTATTTTGTGACAGTCCTTAGCACATGGTACCCGCAGACTGTGCTTGGAGAAGGTTCTGGAAGGTGCTTGTTTGCCCTGGTAAAAATAGTGCTGGGGAATACACTAACAATATAACTGTCTGCGTGACAGGAGGTCGGTACTTGGCCTTGTGCCTCAGTCATATTTAGTTTAGTAGGACAGACACAGCTAAATATCCCTGGCTGCATAGTCCCTGTGCAGAGCTGGACCACCCTCTGCTGCGAGGTAATGGGACTTTGCATTAAAGCAATTTTTCCCCTTTATACCTGAGAAAGAAGAGCAGAATTCACAGCCACTCCTACCGATGCAGGGCAGCTGCCTAGAACCCTCCAACGCCATCCAAACCTTCCCAGGACTCACAGGCCTCGGGGTTGATGTGTTGGCTCCACTCCGGGTCTGTCACAACCAGCTCCGGGTCTGTCTCACCTCGAGTTCCTCCTGCCTGGGAGGGAGCAGCATTGCTCAGTGCCCAAGGGGTGTGGATATCTGCTCCCTTTATGCCCTGTAGTTCTGGGACCCACAGCTGAACATTACCCCTGCAAACAGAACCAACGGGACAGGATCCATTCAGTAACAGCCTGTAAGTGCTTCCCAGCAAGAGACTTTCTTAACAAGAAAGGGAGAAGCCTGATTTCCAGGTGAAGAAGCTGGTATACTACAGCACCAGTTACCTCTGTCAAGTCTTGGCCCCTCCTGCTAAACCCTCTACACAGAATTAGTGCCTAACCACAGAGACCTGGATGCTGGAGCTCTTCTCCCAGGCTCACCTGCAGGCAGAGGGGGGAGACAGAGGTGCTTTTTTGGTACAGTTCACCTGCCCAATTTAGGACATAATGAGATAAAGGCAGGCACTCACAAGAAGTCCTTTTTTTCTTTTCAG